GTTGCAGAGCACAGGCTCCGGACATGCAGGCTCAGTGGCCATGGCTTACGGGCCCAGCCGCTCCACGGCATGTGGGATCTTCCCGGACCGGGGCACGAACCCGTGTCCCCTGCATCGGCAGGAGGACTCTCAACCACTGCGCCACCAGGGAAGCCCATTGACTCAATATCTTTATACAGCGTCATTAATTCCCCCAATGTTACAAAGTAGATATTTCAAACCAAAACTTAATGGATGTAAAAACTGAGGTTAAGAGAAGTTTGGTGGCTTGTCTTATCTAGCATAAACAAGGCTGTTTGCTCAAGCATGTGTTTTCACCTATGTGCTAGTATCTTTTTTAAAGAACATTGCTGCTTTTTCTATCTGAAAGAAATTATTTGTGTTATATATAATTTCATCAATTCCCAAAAATGTTTAAAATAAATTAAGTGAATTTAAAAATAAATTAAAACATCTTTACTCCCATACAACTGCCCACAGGCATCACATATTTGAGATGGCATAGCTGATTTAAAGCATTCATATATATGGTTAAAATAAATGTTAAAAAATTTACATCGGCATTATAAACACTTTCAAAAGTGTGTACATATTTGAGGGGAATTTTTTGAATGTGAGTTCCCAGCACTGGTAATGTTGTCATATAACTAAAATGAGACCTTTTGAATATATTCATTAGTTAAATTGAGAAATTCCAGGCATAATAATCTTGAATGAAGGACTTTTAGTCACTAATGTAGGTTTCAACAACAGTAAAATTCTCTTGTTTTTCTAAAATATTTCAGGAGTTATTTACATTAAATAGCTTGATTACAACGCATCTTCAGATCTAAGTCAATTTTTCTTTATAATATCATCAAATTAAAATTGCTTTTAAAATGTAAATAAAATTTTTATTGGAATGGAAAAAATTCAACTGAAATATGATTTCTAAATATGTGTTTCTAAATATAGTAAATTTCAGTTTATTAAAGCAGAAAGTTGAATGCTCTCCAAATTATGCAATTATTTGAATATGGGAAAATATGAATTGATTTTCAGATATTTAGCATAGTTAATTATAATATTTAAATACATTTGGGATTGTAGGGTGGGATGTTCAGATGTAAATAAATGTTCAATAGTCAATTAAATACAATTTGTCATACACAAACATGGATAAATATGTATTGCCATAAGTACAGTTAAACAGAGAGAGACAAACAAGCTTGGTATTTTTATATGAATTTTGTTATGGCCACATGCACAATTTAGTATCCCTATTATGATTATTTAAGGAAGCTTAGGGATAATGGAAAAAATGTTTAGTGGGTTGTCATTTAGTGATTTTATTTTTGCTTGAATTTGAAAATGCTTCTCCATGAAGGGTACAGAGAAGGAATTAACTATTTACTTTGAAATGTACATGCTATTGTTTCTTTCATGTGATTCTGAGGCACGTCTTAAATCCTAAATAACAGTATATTCAGATATATGTGATCAAAAACTACTTTTGAGAAGAAGAAAGTTGATGCCAGTCAGAACACTGTACATATTGAGTGGCTTGCTGTTTCCCTTCCATACGGAAGAATGACTTTTACACAACTTTGAGGAATCTACCAAATCAGGAATCTAAATCATGGTGAATCTTCTCTAGTTATTATGTTCTTTTTTCCCT